TGAAGTTTATCCACACCATAAACAGCAATCTTCTTTATTCAAAATCTACCAACCTAATTTTTTTTTTTTATCCAGCTGGGGTTGAACCCAGTATTTTTGTGTGTGTGCTAGGTAAGTGTTCTTTATTTTTCCTCTTTCCATTTTCTTTTCTTTCTTTTATTTATTTATTTATTTATTTTGGTTTTTGGAGACAGGGTTTCTCTCTGTGGCTTTGGAGGCTGTCCTGGAACAAGCTCTTGTAGACCAGACTGGTCTTGAACTCACAGAGATCTGCCTGCCTCTGCCTCCCGAGTGCTGGGATTAAAGGCGTGCACCACCACCGCTAGCTCCTCTTTCCATTTTCATGTATGTGTGTGCATGTATGGTGTACATGGATCAGAAGTTGATCATTCCTAGCAACACAGGAATTCAAAGCCAGCCTGGATATATGAGAGTGTCCCCCAAAACAACAGGGGCTGGAAAAATTGGCACAGCTCAGGTTAACAGAACTTGTTGTTCTTACAGAGGACCTGGGTTAGGTTCCCAGCACCCATATGGTGGTTCACAGCCATCTGTATCTCCAGTTCCAGGGGATTCAATGTCCTCTTACGACCTCTGCAGGCACCAAGAACACACACAGGCAAACACATACAAATTAAATTAAACAACAGCAACAACAGAATCAAGAAGCATCCCTTTCCCACAAGCCTAACCTTGTCTACAAGCCTAACGCTGGCCTGGAGCACAGCCTAGAAACAGGGCAAGAGGGGTGGTCTTCTGCAATTCTTATTCCTACTTGCCTCCATCTATATCCTCACACAGGTATATACACACACCCCAGCCCCAGAAATCCCTTGATATAGCTTGAGTCAGTGCTCGAGGCAACCCTATCCAGACATACAGAGTACAGCTTTTCTCCATAGAATCTGGATGGTATCCCTGCTCCCCAGTTCCCCTGGGTATACAGTGGAGCCCCTCCCTCATGCACAGGAGACCTCCCCTGCTTTGCTTTTCCAGCTTTCTCAAGGTGTGAAAAGTTCTCAGGGAACCTTGAGGCTTCCTCCTCACAGGTTAGGAAAGCCATTTGGTTTAGATTTTATTACTTCCAGGGGCCTCCAATGAAAATTTCTGGTGTTATCTCCCAAAGTACCTAAAGTCACAGTTACTCTAGTAACACAGAAAGAAGGGATTTGCCATAAAATTGATTGAGCTTTTGTTTCTGAGTTTGCATACAAAACACAGAATAGTCCAATGAATCCAGTGTACCCATTATCACAGACTTGAAGGGATAAAATAGGAGTTTAGTTTCTATCATGGGAATTTCTATAAATCCTGTAACGATTGCATGGGTAGCACAATTAGAACATTGTGTTAAGGACTGTTCATTTTGATCTGGGGACATGGCTCAGTGGAGAAAGGGCTTGTGTAAAGACAGGAGTTCTAATCCCTAAAACCCATTTAAAAGCTTGGGAGGCCTGGCAACCTCCTGCAGTCCCAGCTCTTAGGATGAGGGGACAGGGGATTCTCAGGGCAAGCTGGCTAACTTGACTTGCCAGTCTGTGGATTCCAGCTTCACTGAGACTCTACCTCTGGAAATAAGAAGGGAGAGACTGAGGAAGACACCAGTCTGTAACTTTGGGCCCCCAACTTAACACGCACACCCATCTACACACATATTTATGAATTCGCATGCATGTGTGCACACCACACACACACCACACATGAAAGAAAAGTATTAATTTGTTAAGTGGAGACGTACTTTGTCTTTCCAGCTGTGGCTGAAACCTCTATAGATAAAGGGACCTGGATCTCTCTCCAACTGGCAAAGGATCTGAATCCCAGAGAGGAGCTGCTGAGACCTGTGGGCCACAATTCCCACCCTGTACAGGCCCAGTGCTGAAGAGGCTAGCTGGGTGTGGCTGTCCCTGGGAGCCCAAGGGAAAGCTTTGAAGTCTACACTGCCAGTAGCTGGCTTATAGCTGTTTGCTATAGATACTGAGAATGCCTAAATCTATGAGCAATTAGGAGCTTCTCTCTGCCTCGGCAGGAACTCAACCAAGTAGCTTTTATGGTACAACTTTAATATGTCCAACTGGCTCTCAGCCCTGGGAGGGGTGGACTGGGGAGCGAGATTCTGGGTCTGGCCTTTGAGCCCCCAGGAACTTCCATTTCTTTTTAAGGGAGGTAAAGAAATGTACCTGAAGGGAACAATTAGGTACCTGGGCTGTCTGCCTTACGGCTCTGATCATTGTTTGCTTTGGAGGCAGCAGTATTTGTAACCTAACTCAAGGGCTGCACAGATTAGACTGCTGGAATCCCCCAAAGAAGACAGGGCTGCCAGCTTCCTGTTCCACCAGGGTTCCCACAGAGCCTGCCACCCAATGACTTCACAATGAACTTCAGGATATGCCCTTCACGGAACGCTTTCCCGTGTGCATTTGTCTCTCTGTCTCTCTCGGCATCTCTGTCTCTATGGGTCTCTGGCCCTCTCTTGTTTCCCAACATCCTTCCAGAGGCCCTGGGGAGCAGAGCTGTGGAGGCAGGGGCCAGTGGGAACAGGACAGTGTCCGGTTCTCACCAAGGACAATAAGGGGCGGAAAGGGCTGGAGCCAAGGCCTGGCGCAGACTAGCCCTCCCGCCTGCCCTGGGCGCCCCCAGGTCCCGCCCTGTCCCACTGGTATGCCCTAAATGCCAGGCGCTCTTCATGCTAGTGCCTGTCCCCGGGAGGGAGCGAGGCCAGCCCTGCCTACGTGCCTCAGTCTCAATGCCCCACTGCCTTCTTGGAGGGTGGTATCACCTTTGACTCCAAGGAGCACCTCAGGTCAGGGGTCAGAGGCCTCCCGCCAGGCCACACTGACTCCGCCCTCGTATTATTTACTCCTGTTTCCGGAGTTGGCGGCGGGTGCCTGCGGGTGTCACTGCCACGTGTGAGTGAACAGGAGGAAACATCTGGCTCCCTCTGTCCTCCAGGGGGATGCCCCTTTCTCCCTCAGGTCTACTGGCTCCGGGGTGGAGTCCCAGGAGCCCCAGGTTCCTTTGTCTCTTTCACCTGCAGGCCTTGGAAGCCACCGTGTCCTCAGGCCCCTTTACCTAATGATGGTGATTAGAGGCTGTGATACCCCTGCCAGGGTTAATTGGCAGGTCAGCTGTGTACAGCCTACAACTAGACACCACAGATAGGCTGAGTATAAAGCGGCTATTGGCGCCGACCTGCCTTGTAAATGCACCCATTCCTGAGGAATGGGTCACTATCCCCAGGCACATTCTGCCCCTGGTCCTACACCGTAGGTGGCAGCAGGTGCCTCGATCCCTCAGCACCGCGGAGGAGAGACACTTCTCTCCGGTCTTCGCCTCACTCCCCAGCCACAGCAGTGATGCCATCTGCCTGGCTCCACCCGGCACTCAGGAGGCCTCACCCCAGGGCTGTATGCGCCCTACTCACTGCTCCCACTCCAGGTAAGGAGAAAGCCCAAGGCTGACAGTACCATCTAGAACCATCCAGCTTCCCATAGACCCTACTTTGGACACCCCCACTTTCTTCCTCAGAGGGCCCTACACATCACATTCCTCGTAATTCCCTTTAATCTCACTAGGTGAGCCAGGAGCCTGGAACTCCACTCTCAGGAAGACTGGTCTCTACTGAAACTCTGCCCCACTCCCAGCCCAAGGACGGGGAGAGAGGCTTCTGCCCTCCCAGGAGGGCATCTGGACCCTTGGCTTCCCCAGGTTGGCTTTCAAAGAACTACATCACCCCCTAGCGGCCCTTTAGGGACAATCTGCAGGGAGCAGTCTGCCTAAGTGTGTACGACAGATGAGCTCACAGCGCCCTCTGCAGGCATTTTGTGTAAACCGTGCAGCGCTCCCTACCGGCCAGCGACAGAAGGAAAGCTAGGGTATGGCATAGGGTAGGGTGGCCTGTAACCCTCCCTCAGAACTCTTCTATTTATCTTTACTCGTCCTGGCCAGGAGGTGGTGGTGCACACCTTTGGTCCCAGCACTCGGGAGGCAGAGGCAGGTGGATCTCTGTGAGTTCGAGACCAGCCTGGTCTACAAGATCTAGTTCCAGGAAAGCCTCCAAAGCCACAGAGAAACCCTGCCTCACCCCCCACCCCAAAAAGGTCCCATCTTTACTACTACTTATTCCCTAACCTTTAGGTACCTCTAAAGAATAGAATTTTGTTCTAGAAGGGTTGAAGGGTAAGTTCTTTCATTCAACCAACCTACTTTCCATTATCAGGCACTACTGAGCACACAAAAGTGACCAAAATGGGTGTTCCCTAAGCCTACAGCATCCCCAGGAAAGGAGGTGCCTTGGTGTTCTGAAGGACAAGCACTTTGGCCAGAGCTGCTTCTCATGACAGCACAGAACAGGGTCTGGGGGCCACTTGCCTCATTCCTATGAGGACTGGCTGAGGCTAGTGGTCTCGCTGCTCTTTCACACTGAGAAAACTCTTGGACACAAGATAAAAGTGGGGAAACGAAATCAGAGCAAAGAGGCAAGGGCTAGTAATTAGCCTGGGATCCTTGCAAACACAGGCACTTTGCTCACGCTAGACTAGAAGAGATGGGTGAGGACAGCAACATCAGTAGGGTTCGGCAAAAGGATGCAGGCTATTTTGCTCAGGGTAAGGACAAAAGTTCATTTCCCAGCCTGGGGAGCTTGAGTAGCAGTCCCAAGTTAAGGGCTGCACTTCCACTGGAAGATCCTTTTAGCTTTAAAGAATAGAAGACACCTGTCACTCCTTCAGCCTCTACACATGCATGCATGAGCATACAGGTGTGCACACACACACACACACACACACACACACACACACACACACCTACTCTGGTTCTGAGAGGCAGCCCTTCATGGTTACACTCTGAGCCTTTACCCTCTCTCCTCACAGGTTAGGACCTTGAATCATTGCTGCATATCTCTTCCACAATAACTCTGTTGTAAGCAGAAGTAGTGGACACTGCAGTACCTGCCAAGCTCACACATTGCAGGTCTACAACTTATCAGAGCTCACAGACAGAACTACAAAGAATCAACTTTATTAATCATTCAGGATTAGTTCCTCTTCTTGCCCTTGCCAGTGACCTTGGCTGGTGTGAGGACTGGTGCTGTCACCTGGTACAGAGTGGAGGATATCTTGTTGATATAGTACAGGCCAACCATGGAGAAGATGAAGCTACAGGATGAAAAGAAGTTGTTACATCAACAGGCATGTTGCTAGCAGGGTAGACACTAGCTTCTGGGAAAGAATTCAGGTTTGGGTTTGGGAAATCAGGGAACAGCAAAAATGAGAAAACAGAGGAAAAGGTATATGGTGGGAAGGGAAGGGGCTGGCACATCATAGGGAGATCTGGTACCAAAAGACAAGACATCGTTGTACCTTGCCCAACTGTCAGATACATACCAGGTGGTGACACAGACTCGGTGGATGAGGCCAGATGCAAAGAGTGCCAACAGCAAGCAGATGAGAACTGGAGAGGCAACAACAGGGAGGGTCAGTAGAGAAACATAGAACCGGAAGTATGTAGAGCCTTTTTGAGGAAGCTGCTTGAAAAGGTATGTCCTGGTGGCACAAGCCTTTAACCCCAGCACTAGGGAGGCAAAGGCAGGTGGATCTCTGTGAGTTCCAGACCAGCCTGGTCTCCAGAGCCAGTGCCAGGATAGGCTCCAAAGCTACAGATGGGCTGGAGAGATGGCTCAGAGGTTACCCCCCCCCCGGGGGGGGGGGGGGGGGGGGGTTTTTTGGGATTGGGGGCCCCCCGGGTTCCCAAAAAAAAAAAAAAAAAAAAAAAAAAAGCTACACAGAGAAACCCTGTCTTGAAAAACCAAAAACAAAACAAAACAAAAACAAAAACAGGTAAAGAAAGGAAAAGAGATATCCTGATAAAAGTCAAGAGTTCAGACAGCCTTAACACTGCTCAGAACACAGAGGTAAGATGGATGAAATTTTGTTTGGTTTTTGTTTTACTAGCTTGCTCCACATCTCATTTAATTTCCTGGCCTCCCCCCAGCCAAAAAAAAACAAAAAAAAAACAAAACAAAACAAACAAACAAAAAAAACTCAAAAAACAAAAGAAAGCTGAATGCAGTGGTCTATATAGCTGAGGCAGAAGGATCACTTAAACCCAGTAATTCAAGACAAGACCAGCCTGAGCAACACAGTGAGATCCTATCTCAAAAGTAAAGTTATAAATAAAATCAAATGTACTAGCAGGGCTTGGAGAACAAGGCTTGTTCCTGTTATTTAGGAAGAAAACTAAGACCTGACAGGACAGGAGAGGGGTGAGAGGGCAGAAAGAGCAAAGGGACTCCACTTGTCCAGCTGGAGATAGCAGAGAAGGCAAGGAAAGACAAGGATTTTGTCCTCCAGCAATGGTTTCTTTCATAAAATAACAAAGACTGTACATACAGAACGAAGTTTAAGAGACAGACGTCCTGGAAGTGCTGGAACCCTGTAACAGGGGTGTGAAGACAGCAAAACCCAGATGCAGGCAAGGAAATGTGGATGACAATGACAGGTTTTGGTGTTACCAGGTGAGGCTTTCACAAGACTACAACTGCTGTGAGTTTTTGAGCATGTGGCTTTTGTTGTGTGATGTGGTCCTGATGCTGACTTTGCTTTGTGAACTTAATAACTCCATGAAAAATTAAACCATTGGATCTCTATAGGAACCATCTAACAAGAATCATCAAAAACTTGTCTATCAGGACTGGAGATGTGGGTAGAGGGCTTGCCTATCACGCTCAAAGCCCGGGGTTCCATACCCAGCTCCACATGAACTATATGAGGCTGTGCTAATTCCAGTGCATGGGAGATGGAGGCAGGAAGATCAGGAGTTCAAGGGTTCAAAGTCATCCTCAGCTACATAGTAAGTTCAAGGCCAGTCTGAGCTACAGAGGGAAGGAGAGGAAAGAGGGAGAGAGAAACAAGAGAGGGATCTAACAGTGATCGCTACTCTCCTTTGGTCAGGAGTCCTGCTATCAGTAACATCCCAGTGAGTACAGACTTCACAGTCCCCTCAAGAGAACTCTAGAGCGGGCTCGATTTCACATCGGAATCCCTCAGTGAACTTGTCTTGCTTTCTTTTCTCACAGGGACAAAGAACATCTTCCTGAGGATGCCTATCAAACATCACCTCAAGCTTAAATGTTTGCTTGAAACCCTTCCTGGGAGCGGGCCACACTTTCCTTTTTCTTTCTTCTTTTCCTTGTTTTTGTGCTTCTTTTCCAGCTCCAATGCCAGGAGCTGGACAAAATGCTTGATCCAAAGGCATCCTCTGTCTTCAAGACAGTTTTAGCAAACGTATTTCTCCTTTACCATCCAAGCACAGGGAAATTCAGCAGCATGTTTGGGGGTGAAGTTAAAAGAGTTCAATCAACTACCGCGTTTCACTTACTCTCAGGGAAGATCTTTGCTTGGAAACCTTTACCAAAGACCAGATTCTCGAGATTATTGAAGGCCTGGGTTGAGGGAATTAAGGAGGAACTCCTACAACAAGACAGGGCTGGGGAGTAGGAGAAACACATCCTCTGTTCAAACCTATCTCTCCCCCCCGCCCCCCGCCACCGCGCCTTTTTCCAGCATGGGGAGGATACAGTCAGGGAGAAGACGAAAAGGCCTGAGCCCAGCAGGCCCCCCTGAATAGTGAGCCACTCGGTGGAGGCCAGCTGGCGGCTGTATATCTGCATGCCAGCGAAGAGCAGCAGAGACAGGAGGGAGGACAGCGCCAAGGAGGTTCCGGTACCGACCACTGGAGATGAGAAAGAGTCAAGCTAAGCTTCAGGCAGGCAGATTCGCTCCCGACTTCGGCCTGCCAACCACTTCCAAGCGCTCCGGGACTGCAGCCACACGTCCCCCACCGCCACCCCACGGCGACCTCCAGGAACCCCCGGCGCCCGCCCCGCACACCCAAGTTCCCGCCCGTCCGTCCCGAGGAAGCGCTAGCTCCCTGGAAACCAGGACACGTCAGCTTTACCGAGCCTACCGGGAAAAGAGGGCCACCCCAGCGCCCACCCCCACTAGAGCAGCCCGGGCATCCCGCCGGCCCGGTTACCCATCACGCCCCGCCCGTGGGTCCAATCTGTGCCTCCGGCAGAGAAAAAGGGGAGCCAAAGCCGGCGCGGGTGTCTGTACGCAGGCGTCAGGCAGGGCCCAGCGCGGACTCGGCTTTACTTCTTCCTCTAAGCGCCTCGGACGCAGCGCCCCCGTGCGGCAAGGAGGAAATAATGCTTCGACGCGCATTCTGGACCACCGCCCTGCTTGGTCTCCAGCTTCTGCTGCCTCTCAGGACAAGCTGCACTCACGTCTTTCAGTCACGACCCCATGGCCTAGAGTCTTCTTTGCTATTTGTGTCATCTCTAGTACAAGTTCCTCAGATCCCCCCGCCCCACTCTGATTGCCTCAACATGTCCCGAAGACATGCCCCACCCAAAATGTAGCGCTCTCAACCAGGAGTTCACCTTCCTCCGAAAACAGCCTCTCGCTTTTTATGTGAGTAGTGTGACGAGCGATCAGTGAAAGATTCTAATAGAGGAAATGGTTCCTCTCCCAAATACCCTTCCATGTTATCCACCCCCTAGACCGCCTTTGGAGAGCCACGTGGGAAGAACTATTTCCCACCCCCTACCTCGACGGGCGCAGTTCGAGGCAGGTCCCTGGAGCATGCGCAGTGATATCTCACTCTCCCCACCCCTCCCTACACCCCACCCGGCTCCTGCATTAAGCCCCGGGTT